TAATGGTGAACTAAAGAAATAACAGCATCTGCACCTTTACCAACATTTTCATTTTCTTGTATTAAATAATTTTTCTACAATTAAAAATATATTATTTTATTATTAATTTTATTTATTTCATTTTTGTATAATTAAACTATACCTGTTTAGGAAAAGCTTCTTCGCAAATTCCAAAAATAGATACTTTTCAAGGTAATTTAAAATAAATTGAACCCTAAAAATTATTACTAATTTAATATATACAGTAAATAAAAAACACAGTTAATTTTTTACCTCTTGTTGTAAGAAATAAGGAAGGTGAACACCTTCAGCAAAATCCCAAGAAATATGATTTTCAAATTCTAAAGAATTCACGTTTTCAGGACGTATTAATTTTGATGAATCAATTTTTAATAATTAATCCTTAGTATCTTCAATACATTTTCTTAAAAATAAAAAATATAAATTAATATGCAAGAATTATAAAAATTTATTATTGATAAATTACTAACCTATAATAATCTCTTTCTTGATTTGCCCATATAATGTGTTAATGCCATTCTTTAACTTTATCATCTCGTTCACTTTGATCCCAAAATTGTAAATAAAATCTCATAGTTTTGCAAAGAATACATAAATCACTTCTAGGTGATAAAAATTTAATTTCAGGCACATATTTTTCCATACTCTTAAAATAACCAATGACTAATATTATATTCTGAATTTACATCTAAACTTGAATCATAAATTCGGTATAATCCTATATAACTATCACTAACTAGTAAAAATATTATAGCTATTTTATCATCTCGAAAACTACGACCTAAAGATAAAAAAGTTTTAATATATTTATAAATAAATATTAATTTCATTAAAAGTATATCTGGAGAAGGTAATCCATGTATATTAGCATAATTAATAATAAAAGAAGTTATGTGTAAAATTGTTTCAAATGACAAGGCATAGCTACTTTTTCTTCTTTTATTACCATGTATAATAGGTTTAAAACCATTTGTTTGATAATGATTTCGAATTCCTTTCCATTTATTTTTACTTAATGAATAGATAATAAGAAAAACTGTCTCACAAATATCTTTTTTATCAAATGTATATTTAATAGTTCAATATGTTTTTTCAGTTTTATTATGATGAGTATAATCTGAACGTTTCATAGCATGAAATAATCCTAAGAAAAACATATTAGAATCAGATTTTGAAAGTAATTTCATATTTTGGAAAACTTTAAGTACACTAGTCTGATTAATTTTAGTTTTAAAACAATCTTTTTCATAACAATTTTTATTTTGAAGAGTAAGTTTAAATGCATTTTCATCTTGTTGATTTAAAAAGTTTTCCATTTTCTTTTGCTTCTCATCTTCATTTTCTTCTGTAATATTATCATATATTGATCGAAAATTTTCAATTTGAGCTGATGTCAAAATTTCATTATCATATTGTAATGGTAAATCATCTGAAGAATATGCATCACTTTTTTCTGGAATTGGATTAGATTCTGATTGATTATTTTCAAATTCACTATTATCATCATTTTGATATAATGATTTAAGTTGTTCAAAAGCTTCAGATAAAGTATTTATTGAATGAGTTTCTAAAATTTCAGGACAAAAAATTTCATGTGTATAAGTGGAATTCATAATTTATTATACCGTTATTATCACTAGAATAATAAGAAATCAACAATGGAAAATAAAAAACAAAACTAAGCAAAAGGTTATGAAACAAAAGACTAGCTATTATTTTTGGAAAAAAAATTATTTTTAAAAGTATTTCAGAACAAAGAATTGCAATGTAAAATACCAAATTGATTTTATTATTTTCATTAAAATGTAATACAAAAAAACCAAAATAAAAAATTATTTTCATTAAATTGTAGTGCAAATACCAAAATATTCTCAAAGATGTAGCGTAAAATTCTTTCTTCACATCATATGAAATTAGTGTAACTAAATCACCACCAAAAGTAACACGATGATTTTTAAAGAGAAAAAGATAAATAAAATATCACTAATAAAACTAAAGACCGAATCTAAAAAAAGAATGTAAAGAACAAAACAAAATAAAAGAATGAAAAAATTTAAATTAAGAATGTAAAACCAAAACAAAAAGTTCAAAATACAAATATAAAAAAAAAAATAAAACCCAAGTAAAGAATGTGAAGAATAAGATAGAATCCAAAAAAAAGGAACCCAGAAAAAGAATCCAAGAGAAGTATGAAATAAAATCCAAATGAACGAAACATAACCTAAGCAAACCAAAAATAAAGAATAAGACAGAATCCAAGAGCCAAGAGCAAAGAATAAAACCTATGAAAGTAAAAAACGAAATGAAACCCAAATGAAGAAATAAAATCTGAAATATAATCTAAGTAAAGAAGAAATAAAATTCAAGTAAGAGAAATAAAGGAATAAAATAGTCAAAAAATAAAACAGAATCCAGGCAATAAAATAGGACCAAAAAAAAAATAAATTTTAAGTAAAAGAAAAGAAAACCAACAAAGAAATAAATATTAGTAATAAACAAATACCAAGCAAAAATTAAATGAAATAAATAAAAAAACTTACCATGAAAAATAAACCTAAAGATCCAAAAAAAAAGTATTAAAAGAACGAAATATAAAAATAAACGAAAAAGTATGATTTAAAAAAATAGCGTAATACTTAGAAAAAGATCTATAGAGCAATGAGTAGCGAATTTAGTGGTACGAATGTTCAAATAGTCATCTGTATAATATTCAGCAATGAGAACACGATCTAAACTGCTCAAGAAACTCCTTACGAGTGCAATGAAGAAACTGAAACAAAAAAAGAAACAATAACGAAGAAATGGTCCAGCAATTAATCAGCCAACAAGCAAATAAAAAGGTTAAAGTGAAACCGTTGAAAAGGAAGTCACCTTTGGTACTGCCATAAATGGTATAGTTGATCCTTATACACTGCAACAATTTTTTGATTAACACGTGAATATTACGAATGGTCAATTAATAGCAATATAGCATATTTTTTTTATTAATTTATTTATTTATTTATATTTATTTATAATTTAAAAAAATTGGGTGTCTCGATTGTGAAGCAACTGTTGGTAGAAGTAGTCATAATCTAACTAGTGGAAACAAACTAATGTCGAATTTGATACAATAGGCGGTAGAACACGAAGACAAGAAGATGATAATTTATAACGAGTTTTTTATATAGTTTTTTTTGTAAACTTAAGTTGAATATTGTATTAGATTGTGTTCAGATCAAATAAATAAATATAACTTAACGTTAAACTTTTTGTGAAATTTGAATAAAACTATGTTATTCACAAACTAAATCATTTATCTCAACATATTACCTAAAGCTAATTATTGAAAATATCGAATCTCAAATATTATTAAAACCGAGACACATAAATAATATGCATCAGGTGATAAAAAAGACAGTTTTGCGAACCATTTCCAACCTGTTTAAAAAATTCTTAGAGAGGCTAAACTTCAAGTTAAAGCAGAAAGAATCAAAAAAAATTGCTAGAGAATGATTCTAAACTTTATTTTGATACCTTTAACAATTGAATAAAAGGGGAAGGGGAAGCCTTCAAAATTGTATCAAATCTAATTGGTTGTAGATTTAGACCATTTTCTCAGCACTCATTATTCTCGGTATAAAATTGATCAACACGACATCTCCTCAATTTAAAATGTAACTAATCAGATATAGGGTAACGAAAGTGTTACAAGGCTGTGGCGCAATATTTTATTATGCTAGCGTGCTTTCTATATTAAGTAAAAAATGTTCTTCAACTAAATCTACATTTAATAATATTAAAAAAAATTTTTTTGTCAGATGTCGATTTGGTCCATTTTCCCAGCATTTACTCCATATTATCTAGCATAGCGGTTATGCTTAATTTTATCACATTTTGCAGATCATTTTGCCGATCATTTGCCGATCATTTTTCATTTTATCACATATAAT